ATATATATATATGCAAATGTCCCCCCGCGACGCGAGGGGTTCAAGCAATCTGCATGTACTGAAGGAGGGGGATAGGTAGCCAGGCTCGGGATAGGTAGCCAGGCTCGGGATAGGTAGCCAGGCTCGGGATAGGTAGCCAGGCTCGGGATAGGTAGCCAGGCTCGGGATAGGTAGCCAGGCTCGGTAGTCGACCTCCACTCCACGCCTTGAGCACCACTCACTCGCCACTTCATCAATCAGAAACTAGCGTGGGTGGCCTCCAGTCTGGGCCCCCGCAGGAGCAGCACACACACACAAACACTTCACACGGGCCACCAAATCATCAATTTTTCACAATAGGGATGGTGGGTAGTGGCCGCCGTCTCCGGCACTGTTGTAACAGGAAAATATCCACCGTTGTGCTGCGTCAGATTAAAGAATGCGGGAGTGAAGCCTGCACTATCGCCACGATGTAAACAATGCGTGGGGGGGAAATCCCCTTCTCACAATCTTCGAAACCAATCGAGGTGATTGTGAGTGCTGCGTCACAACACCCAGAGTGTTTGTGTGAATGGTGCACGTGTGTGTTGTGGGGGGTGTAGAGGGTCTGGGGGGGTGTCAGCACTGGTGAGGGGGGCACGGCCAGGCTGACGATACAGCGTGAGTGTAAGAGGGTCAACAGCGTTCGTTGGCTGCAGCTGACGGCAGCGGCGGCGACAGCGGCGGCGGCAGCAGCAGCTAGGGGTGTGCGCGCGAGCCCCAGCCGCCTCTAGGCACCACTGACTGATCCCTCAGACCCCAACCTACGCTCCAACAGCTGGGCCTGCGTCACTCAACTCCCCTCTCCCCCCACACTCCCTGGCCGCCCTCCCCTCTCGCTCTCCCCTCTCACTCTCCCTCTTCCCTCCCTCTCTCCCTCTCTCTCCCCTCCCTCTCCCTCTTCCCTCCCTCTCTCTCTCACTCTCTCATATATATTCGTCACTCAACTGATTATGTACAAGATCAAATAAAAATAAATAAAATATTAAGTTACGAAAACACTGCAGGTCCGGCAATTTGCGTGCACGTGACAGGATGCCAGAGGGTGTGTGCACAGGAGTGAGGGGTCAAGAGGAGCAGAGTCAGGTTATCTTGGTTATCTCGAGTCACTGACGGATATCCTTCACACGTGATCCTCCCTACCTCTCCCCCTGGATCAATTCTGGGCTAATAACGTTATTTACCACTTCCGTTGATTTAACGTTACTCAATCATGCCCTGGACAAACTATACGGTTAAATGCATCTTTAAATCGACGTAGGTGATGCGTTACTAAAGCATCCCTTTACTCCCTAAAAAAAATGAATACCAGGAGCCAGATTCACGAAAGCACTTACGCAAGTACTTACGAACGTGCACATCTTTCCTCAATCTTTGGCGGCTTTGGTTACATTTATTAAACAGTTTACAAGCATGAAAACTTGCCAATCAACTGTTGTTATTGTTATAAACAGCCTCCTGGTGCTTAGGAACTCATTAACTGTTTAATAATAGTAAATAAAGCCGCCAAAGATTGAGAAAAGATGGACAGGTTCGTAAGTGCTTGCGTAAGTGCTTCGTGAATCTGGCCCCAGACCACACACTAGAAGGTGAAGGGACGACGGCGTTTCGGTCCGTCCTGGACCATTCTCAAGTCGACCTGACAATCGACTTGAGAATGGTCCAGGACGGACCGAAACGTCGTCGTCGTCCCTTCACCTTCTAGTATGTGGTCTGGTCAACATACTTCAGCCACGTTATTGTGACTCATCGTCTGCATAACTTAGGGGTTTTAAGTTCAGTGTATATGCGAAATTCCAGTTCTTTAATGCACTGTATAAAAGACGCTATTCAGCGTACGGTCAGAAACTGCTCAACCCACCGTAGTGTGACAAGAAAAGCCCAAACGTCTCCAACCCGACAAGAAATATTACGTTACAACTATTCTTATTAAGACTTGGCTTATTCTCGCCGACAAAATGTGCATTCCCAATGGCTTATTCTCACCAACATAAACAATGATATACTGAACTAAGACCCAGTTTTCAATACTTCTCAACCTGGCATCATCACAACAGTTCGAACAGCAACCACCACACCACCACCACCACCACTTCATGCAGGTCTGCGTTCAATCCCCAGACCGTCCAAGTGGTTGGGCACCATTCCTTTCCCCTCCCGTCCCACCCCAAATCCTTATCCTCACCCCTATCCAAGCGCTATATAGTCGTAATGGCTTGGTGCTTTTCCCCCCTGATAATATCCTTCCCTTCCCCTGTGTAAAAAAGGTACTGTGAAGACCTGGAGCCAGATTCACGAAGCAGTTACGCAAGCACTTACGAACCTGTACATCTTTTCTTCATCTTTGGCGGCTTTGTTTACAATTATTAAACAGTTAATGAGCTCCGAAGCACCAGGAGGCTGTTTATAACAATAACAACAGTTGATTGGCAAGTTTCCATGCTTATAAACTATTTAAAAAATGTAAACAAAGCCGTCAAAGATCGAGGAAAGATGTACACGTTCGTAAGTACTTGCGTAACTGCTTTGTGAATCTGACTCCAGGAAGCGTCCGGAATATAAACAAAGCAAGATAAGGCGGTCCGTCTAATTACCAAAAACTACCACATACTACACACGCTTCAGAAAACTTCCTGGCAATACGTTAGTAATGAATAAATATGATATATTTACTCATTATAATGTTGGTGCTGAATGTACAACACGAAAAAACATAATTTTAATCTGAAAAAGTATCTTTTTATAAAGAAATTAGACGAAAATAAACAGCTGGTGACGCCAAATCAAGTCGACGATCCAAGCTTCGGTTAGGTTAGGTTAGGTTAGGATAGGATAGGTTAGGTTAGGTCAGCCTAACTTAATATATCATATTTATTCATTACTAACGTATTGCCAGGAAGTTTTCTGAAGCGTGTGTAGTATGTGGTAGTTTTTGGTAATTAGACGGACCCAGATAAGGGAAAGCGAGACAAGAAGAGAACAATGAACAAGGGAACACGAGATTAATCTCCTGTTGAATTACTTCAGTCAGCCAGTCGGTCATTTTGGCTCATACTGCTGTAGAATTGTGGTAATTGAGACCACAAACACCAAAACAATCGATTGATTACACACAAAAATCACAATAGCATGATGCATCAAATGAACAAATCCACAAGGGGCCGTGATGAGGATTCGAACCTGCGTCCGAGAGGATCCCAGACGCTACCTTAGCGTCTATAGATTCGAAGTAGGTTCGAACCCTCGTCACGGCTCTTGTGGATTTGTTCAATCGATTAATTGAGTGATAAAGAATAAGCCACCCAAGAGGTGGCATGGGCATGAATAGCCCGTAAGTGGGAAAAAAAATGTTCAGTAAATCTATTCAGTATAAAACCATCGAACAAGAGTGACGAATATGCAAGTGTTATGACCCAGTGTATACCAATATACAAGTATACCCAAGTATACCACTGGGGTATACGTATATAGTCCTTGTTGATATTATATGCAAGCCATGTAAATTTCGAGCATAAAAATACTGATGTTTATATTTATTTGTTTGGTGTGAGGATGAAACTACCCAAACTGCCTTGTTAATGAGTGGTGTGTATGTATGTGTGGAGCCGGCAGGTGGTAAGCCTGTGTCTGTGGACAGTTCACGTCAGGGTTACCAACCCTTAATCTTGGTAATTGTCTTTCAATAACTCCTTAACCGTCATTGTCATAGGTCACCAGATGAGAGCGTGTCTCTTTCTGGATATCTATTTCTACATCAATTTCTGTTTATTGTGTAATTAAGAGTAACGTGAGAGGGAGATATCATATCGATTTATGTTAAAGTTGGTACTTGTGTGTTCAGCCCGTCCTCCTAAGGTTCCCAAACGTCATGATACCGTCGTACTAAAGTGTCCGTTATCCTATAACCTACCAGAGTTATGTCAATTCCACGAGCCGCTATCGTTTTCTAGTACGACGATTTTCGGCCTTAGGAAGAGTATATATACGTCAAAATACGACGTTCTATTGAGAAGGACGAGTTAAAGTGTTAGCCTGTGCCCGCCTGCTGGGTCATTCGGCCTAGGAAGATTGTCTGAGGCGGTTGTGCGCGCGCGCTCAAACTAGTAGTGTCGTCGTTGTTATAGAGTCAGCTATTCGGAACAAGTTCCAAGTAGCACGGGATATGGTGAGCCCGTAACTTACCTGGCACAGGAGCGGGACAAGTAGCACGGGCTATGGTGAGCCCTCAGTGGACTTACCTGGCACTGGAGCGGTGGGTAGCAGTGTCAAGAGTTAAGTATAAGATTATTATCTTATACTTATTACGTGACGGCAAGGTAAGAATTGTGATAACTTGGGATGATGGGGGGGGGGGGAGTGTATCATATTATTGTGTCAAGTGAGTAGTGACTTTTGACAACCTCAGTGACTCAAGTTGTCAAGTTGCCAGTAGTAATATTAAGTTTGGTATGTCCTAGTGACCTCTTTTTTTAAAGTTTTTGGTCAAATCCAGTGAGTCAAGTTTATGACCATACTGACTTTGAAGCGCCTCAGTACAAACCTTACAGCTTGTACCAGTCTTGCAAGTGTTCAATTGTAATCTAGTCCACCAATCAAGTCTATGTATAACAAGAATAAAGTGACAAAGAACAAAAGGGAATTGAATGAATTATCAGGGAAAAGCGCTAAGTGATTACGACTATATAGCACTGGGAAGGGGTCAGGATAAGGATTTGGGATGGGACGGGGGGGAAGGAATGGTGCTCAACTACTTGGACGTTCGGGGGATTGAACGCCGACCTGCGTGAAGCGAGACCGTCGCTCTACCGTCCAGCCCAAGTGGTTGGGTGGAACACAAGGGAAGGTGGAGTTCAACACACGAGGGACCCTGGAAACACAAACCGAAACTGTCTCTATTTTCCGCTTGTTACAACTTGTAATAAAGTTGTTACATCTTGGCTTAACGTGTTTATGACGTATTAGAACGTTGTTACAACTTGCTATATTGGTTGTTATAACTGGTTAGGAGGTGTTAAAACTTGTTCGAACGTTGTACCAACGTCGTAGTTTTGGTGTGTGTTTGGCGGGGAGACCTCTCGAATGCTGTCAAATATCACGGCAATGAATTTTACGAGAAATCTTCGAGAGTTATACGGTTTCCAATTCGACAGTTACAGCCCTCGCTCCTGTGACTGTCCACTACGGGCTCACCATAGCCCGTGCTACTTGGAACTTTTTGTTCCAAGCAGCGAATATTTAACAACAAAGGTTTCAATTTAAGAGAAAACGTGGCACGGAGAAGCAGCGAACCACTAACTACATAAGGGGGGAAGCTTAGTCACTGGTAACTAAACCTACGGGCTCGCCATAGCCCGTGCTACTTAAAACTGTTCCAAGTAGCGAATATTTAACAACAAAATGGTAACTAAACCAGTAGGAAGACAAACAAAAAAAAGGGGGGAAAGGGGGTAGGAAATGTAAGATGCAAATAAGATTAGCTAGAGAGGGGAGGAGGAGTATAAAAAGGTAAAGACAGTGTGGACCCGGCCAGGAGGTATATTTCCTTAGAATTTTCAGAAATTCATATATTCTATGTACATATGAATGACCTAAGACATGGCGAAAATGTGAGATTGTGAAGGGTAGACCAAAGGGATGAGGAGATAGAAAACCTGCAAGCAGAGACAACACTCACTTGGAAGGGTAATTAAGGACAGGTGTTTGCCAAAATAACGATAGACGGCAAGTAGATAACAATAAGACGGATCCCCGA